ACACACACACACACACACACACACACATACACACACATACACACACACACACACATATATATATATATATATATATATATATAAATATATATATATATTATATATATAATATATGTACTCACCTATTTGTGGTTGCAGGGGTCGAGACTCAGCTCCTTGCCCCGCCTCTTCAGCGACCGCTACTGGGTCCTCTCTCCCCCTGCTCCATGAGCTATATCATACCTCGTCCTAAAACTATGTATAGTTCCTACCTCCACTACATCACTTGCCAGACTCTTCCACTTCCTGACAATTCTATGGCTGAAGAAATACTTCCTAACATCCCTTTGACTCATCTGAGTCTTCAACTTCCAACTGTGACCCCTTGTTTATTGTCCCCCTCTCTGGAACATCCTGTCTCTGTCCACCTTAACTATTCCACGCAGTATCTTTTATGTCGCTATCATGTCTCCCCTGACCCTGATGTCCTCCAGTGTCGTCAGTCAGATTTCCCTCAACCTTTCATCGTAGGACATTCCCCTGAGCTCTGGAACTAGCCTTGTTGCAAACCTTTGTACTTTCCCTAACTTCTTGACGTGCTTGACGAGGTGTCGGTTCCAAACTGGTGCTGCATACTCCAGTATGGGCCTAACGTATACAATGTACAGTGTCTTGAACGTTTCCTTATTAAGGTATCGGAACGCTATTCTCAGGTTTGCTATGCGCCCATATGCTGCAGCAGTTATCTGGTTGATGTGTGCCTCCGGAGACGTGCTCGGTGTTATGGTCACCCCAAGATCTTTCTTCCTGAGTGAAGTTTGCAGTCTTTGTCCACCTAGCCTATACTCTGCGGTCTTCTTTGCCTTCCACAATCTTCATGACTTTGCATTTGGCAGGGTTGAATTCGAGAAGCCAGTTTCTGGACCAAGTGTCCAGTCTGTCCAGGTCTCTTTGAAGTCCTGCCTGATCATCATCCGATTTAATTCTTCTCATGAACTTCACATCATCTGCGAATAGGGACGCTTCAGAGTCTATCCCTTCCATCATGTCATTCACATATATCAAAAATAGCACTGGTCTTAGAACTGACCCCTGTGGGACCCCCGCTCGTCACTGGCGCCCACTGTGATACCTCTTCACGTCCCATGACTCATTGTTGCCTCCCTGTCAGGTATTCTCTGATCCATTTCAGTGCCCTCCCTGTTATACGTGCCTGATCCTCCAGCTTCTGCACTAATCTCTTGTGAGTAACTGTGTCGAAGGCCTTCCTGCAGTCGAGGAAAATGCAATCCACCCACCCCTCTCTCTCGTGTCTTATTTATGTTACCTTATCATAAAACTCTAGAAGGTTTGTGACACAGGATTTGCCTTCCATGAATCCATGCTGATTGTCATTTATAATCCTGTTCCGTTCCATGTGCTCTACCACTCTCCTCCTGATAATCTTCTCCATGACTTTGCATACTATACTCGTCAGAGACAATGGTCTGTAGTTTAGTGCCTCGTTTCTGCCTCCTTTCTTAAAAATGGGGACTATATTTGCCGTCTTCCATATCTCAGGTAGTTGCCCAGTTTCAAGGGATGTATTGAAGATTGTGGTTAGGGGCACGCACAGCGTCTCTGCTCCTTCACTAACGATCCAACATCAAGGATGGTCCTTGTTGTTTCATTCTCTTTACTGATAGTACACGAATTTTGCGAAATATATACAGCATATGCAATCCGTGGAAACAAGTCACATTGTTGTCATATCAGTATCTCAACCAGCAGAGGATTCGAACTCACACACCAGTCTCTCCACCAGGGCTGCTGGTGCACCTGGAAAATATTTTCAAGGTTTTGCCTGCCACCAAACCTTCCATGATATCCCCAGAATAGACGCATAAATCAACAAGAAAATAGTGAAGGGAAATACTGGAGGAGCAATTAGACTAATCACCAGCGATTGTGAGGGGAAAAGTTCACTTGTATAATAAAATCCTGAAGGAAGGGTGAATGACTATGGTGTAGATTGTTTGCATGTGGGTTACTATTGTTTGCAGAGGTGCATTTTTTAAGCGCTACCCCGCTAAATTTATTCATATCGATGGTAGGTTATGCCGGCGTCAGATATTCTTGCTAGGTAACTTGATTCTTCGCTTCCCTGAGTGCTTGTAAATTTCTGTCCTCTGTTTTTTTCAGTTGCTGTCAGTTTTCTTTTGTCAAAGGTATATTACTGTTGTCACCTGTCTTAATTATTGCCTGTCCCTTGTTTCTTGACGCAAAGTTTAGTATTATTTAGATTGCAAACTTCTGCGTTCTTTGTGAGAAATTGTGGAGTCTTTATGATAATTTGGATTCGTTCTATCCCTTCAGCTTGGAGAAAGAATTCTGGATAGTTGTAATGTGCAGAAGATAGAATGACCTGGTTTTCAATATTCTACTTGGTAAGTACTGATTCACCTATTTAAGCAATGATCTAAAAATCATTTTAGCACCAAACCTGAGAAACCTCATCTAACCTAACCTAGCATATTTTTTTCCAGATAAACTGCTACATATACCATAATAGTTGAAATTTATTTAAATATTTCTAGAATATATATATATATATATATATATATATATATATATATATATATATATATATATTATATATATATATATATATATATATATATTTTTTATTATTTTTTATTATCACACCGGCCGATTCCCACCAAGGCAGGGTGGCCCGAAAAAGAAAAACTTTCACCATCATTCACTCCATCACTGTCTTGCCAGAAGGGTGCTTTACACTACAGTTTTTAAACTGCAACATTAACACCCCTCCTTCAGAGTGCAGGCACTGTACTTCCCATCTCCAGGACTCAAGTCCGGCCTGCCGGTTTCCCTGAATCCCTTCATAAATGTTACTTTGCTCACACTCCAACAGCACGTCAAGTATTAAAAACCATTTGTCTCCATTCACTCCTATCAAACACGCTCATATATATATATAATATATATATATATATATATATATATATATATATATATATATATATATATATATATATATATATATATATATATATGTCTTGCCGAATAGGCAGAACTTGCGATCTTGGCTTAAATAGCAACGCTCATCTTGCCATATAGGACAAGCGAAAATTTCTGTATGCAATAATTTCGCCAAAATCATTCTGAACCTAACGAAAAAAATATATTTCACTGTGTTTGTTTAGTATTAAATTATTGTAAACAAATCTAAAATATATTTAGTTGGGTTAGGCTAAAATAAATTGTTCTTGTTAAAATAAGGTTAGGTAAGTTTTCTAAGATTCTTTTGGAGCAAAATTAAAAATTTTTACATTAACATTAATGAAAAAATATGTCTTTAAATGTATAACAGAAAATTTTAGAAAGGACTTAATTTTAGATGAATGGTTCAGAGAACCGACATGTTGATAAATTAGACACATGTGCAACTCTTGGGTATCTTTATTGAGGAAACGTTTCGCCACACAGTGGCTTCATCAGTCCATACAAAGGAGGAAAACTTTAAGAATAGGAGAGAAAGAGGTAATCATCCCCCCAACCTTGAGTCGAAGTGGTCAGTTTCCCTCAATCTTGAAAAAGAAAACGGGATCCGGGGGCTTTAGGGAAGGGGCTTATTTAAAACCCTTTGGGAGGAGAGGTTTCAGCATTCCAAAGGCAGTGTAACACTTGTTCAATGTTGAAGTAGGGGCGTGGGCCCCAAAAATTAAAAAGGGGGAAACGAAGAATTCCCCCAAAATATTAAAACCCAAGAAGATGCGGGGTCGACAAAGGTTTTTGATGAATGGTTCAGGGGAACCGGGGCAAAGTTGATTTAAAATTTGAAAACTGTGCAAAATCTTTGGGGTTCCCTTTTTTGAGGAAACCCTTCGCCACACAGTGGCTTTATTTATCCATACAAAAGGGGAATCTTGGAAAAAATAGGAGGGGAATGAGGTAATCAGTCCCTCAACCTTGAGGTTTTAAAACCAACGGTTTATAAGCTCCTTCTCCCGCACGTATGCCGTATTCATTCAAGATTGAAAGGACTGACCACACGACTCAAGGTTGAGGGCGAATTTCCTCATTCCCTTCCCAATTTTTCCAAAATTCTTTCCCTTTTTAAAGGGACGAAGAAGCCACTGGGGCGAAACTTTTTCCCCAAAAAAATACCCAAGAGTTGCACATGTGTCTAATTTTTTCAAAATGTCGGTTTTTCCCGAACCATTCATCTACAAACCTTGCCCGACCCGCATCTTCTTGGGGTCTTAAACTTGGGAATTCCCTTTGCTTGCCTAATTCTTGGGGACGGGCCACTTCAACATTGAACAAGTGTTAAAACTGCCTCTGGGCTGCTTTCAACCCCCTTTCCCGCCAAAGGGTTTTTAAAAACTCCTTCTCAGCACGTATGCCGTATTTTAATTTAAGATTGATGGGCTGACCACATCGACCCAAGGTTGAGGACGATTACCCCCATTCCCTCCTATTCTTTAAGATTTTCCTTTTTGGACTGATGAAGCCACTGTGTGGCGAAAAAAGTTTCCTCAATAAAGATACCCAAAAATTGCACAAGTGTCTAAGTTATCAACATGTCGGTTCTCTGAACCATTCATCTACAAACCTGTCAGACACCGCATCTTCTTGGGATCTTAATACTTGGGAATTCTTCGCTTGCCTAATTCTTGGGCACGACCTACTTCAACATTGAACAAGTGTTACACTGCCTCTGACTGCTGCACCTCTCCTGCCAACGGTTTATAAGCTCCTTCTCAGCACGTATGCCGTATTCTATTCAAGATTGATGGACTGACCACATCGACTCAAGGTTGAGGGACTGATTACCTCATTCTCCTCCTATTCTTCAAGATTCTCCTTTGTATGGACTGATGAAGCCACTGTGTGGCGAAACGTTTCCTCAATAAAGATACCCAAGAGTTGCACATGTGTCTAATTTATCGACTTAATTTTAAATGAGTTCTTGCTAATTGACCAGTTTCACATATTCGGCACGACATATATATAATGTCGTGCCGAATAGGCAGAACTTGCGATCTTGGCTTAAATAGCAACGCTCATCTTGCCATATAGGACAAGTGAAAATTTGTGTATGCAATAATTTCGCCAAAATCATTCTGAACCTAAAGAAAAAAATATATTTGATTGTGTTTGTTTAGTACTAAATTATTGTACACGTATTTAAAATATATTTAGTTGGGTTAGGCTAAAAATAAATTGCTCTTGTTATAATAAGGTTAGGTAAGTTTTCTAAGATTCTTTTGGTGCAAAATTAAATTTTTTTTTACATTAACATTATTAAAAAAAAAATATATCTTTAAACGTATAAGATAAAAATTCAGAAAGGACTTAATTTTAAATGAGTTCTTGCTAATTGACCAGTTTTACATATTCGGCACGACAATATATATATATATATATATATATATATAATATATATATATATATATATATATATAATATATATATATATATATATATATATATATATATATAATATATAATATAATATACTGGATTTAACAAGGTTAGGTTAAGATCCCTAGCTTAATTTACGAGTTAAGGATTCCTACCTTTGCTGACAAGCTAAGAGCTGTTACCTACATCAGCTCATTTGAAAGCATTTTTATTGTTATGAAACATACAAGTAGGGAACAGGATGAAGTTGTAACCATCTGTTGGCCAGCATTTTCATTTGATCAACTGACTTTATCTCCTTGACACCATAATATGTACGAATGTGTACCAGACAAGAGCCATCCTGGGGATAAATTATCTCACATCAAGTGATTTTCTGGAGAAGGGTACAGCCAGAGTGAAGTTGCTGCTTTCTGCCCGTCTTGTGGTATAGAAGCTTGCTTCACGCTGTCCCCGAAGTGGAGCCAAATGTGGTACTTTGACAATGTTGGCCTTGTATATAACAGTAAAGCCGCCCACATCCCTCCTGTGTTGAAGGTTCTGCTAAAATGACATATCTTCCAAGATGGTCCAGACTAGAAAATGAGACTTCTTGCTCTGTTCTATACTCTGTCAAGCAGCCCGCAGATGAGAGGGGGCAAGCAAACCAAGAAAGTGGAGCATACTCAGTTTTGTGAGCGTACTTGTGCCTCATAAAGATTCTTGGACTAGAGAGGCCTGAGCTTGCTACCATCTGCAGCTCATAAGACTGCCATCCCCACGAGCCCCTTTGAGGCGGGGTAGATGGCAGACCAGAGGCCTAGCTTCTCCCTACGAGCCCCGTGAGGGCGGGGAATGTGGCTAGGCCTGGGGACACTTGGTCCCAAGGATGAGGAGGTACTTGTCCTTCCTCCCATGGGAGACTTAAGTCTCGAGACACTCTCCAGATAGGGAGCCAAGGCCGGGTCACCTTAAGTCTCGAGACACTCCCCAGATAGGGAGCCAAGGCCGGGTCACCTTAAGTCTCGAAACACTCCCCAGATAGGGAGCCAAGGCCTGGTCACCTTAAGTCTCGAGACACTCCCCAGATAGGGAGCCAAGGCCGGGTCACCACTACTTGGAAAAGACCCGGGCCGGGAGAATACCGGCGAATAAAAAACAAAAAACAGATTCTTGCAACCCCTACTGTCAAGCAGATGCTCTCTCTCTCTCTCTCTCTCTCTCCCTCTCTTCTCTCTCTCTCTCTCTCTCTCTCTTCTCTCTCTCTCTCTCTCTCTCTCTCTCTCTCTCTCTCCTCCTCTCTCTCCTCTCTCTCTCATTCTCTCTCATTCTCTCAAACATTCTCTCACTATTTCTCGGGTTTTCCTAAATAATTATTTTTCAAAAGCCTCTCCTCGTGCATCATTCAAACAAAATTTTCTTTCCTTTAATTGTTCTTTTCTCCTCTCTCTGATTCCACTTTTCATTTCTTCGTTGCCTGGTCTTTTCCTTTCTCGCAGCCTACACCTTCGATATCACTCCGCCTGTGTTCTCTTCTCAATAACCATTTAGCGTGTGTGCCGTTTTTCAATATCCTTGGGTTGTTAACCTATTTCCCTCTTTAGTTGTGTGTATGTGTCGTATGGAGAGAGTGGGAGTTATCAACCCTTCTTCATTTCTGTGAGTGTGTAGAGGGGGGTGTTACCACCTCTCTTCTTTCGTTTACTTTGTGTGTGTGTTGGAGACAAGGAAAGTGTTATCACCCTTCTTTAGCTTTGTGTGAATGGAATGGGGGGATTTGTTTGATAACCTTCCTTCCTTCTTTACTCTCTTTGTATTGGGGAGGGTTTAAAAAGGGATTAGCTTTAACCACCATCTATTTTTGCCTCTGTGTGAGAGTGAGTGTTGGGGTGCTTGGGAATATGAGAATTATCGGCCTACTTTCTTTACTTTTATTAAGTGTGGGGGGAGTTACCACGCTATTTTCTTTTTTAGCTCTGTGTTTTGGTGGCAGGAGCGAGAGTATGCCACTCCTCCGATGTAGTCATCTCTGCATATTTTGGGGGAGGGGGGCTGAGTCACCCTCTCTCTCAGGGTATTTTTTTTTCCAAGAGATTCAAGACCCATTGACACCCTTTCCCTTCCTCGCACCACCCCTCCCATTCCCTACTTTCTGTCGCAACCCTTCGTTCACCGTGAACTCTTCCGTTGCCACCCTTCCCCCTCTAACCCAGACAACATTTACCTTGTACATTGCATGTAGTCCACTAGCACTATACCCAGCAATCACTGCCAACATCTCTCGCTCTCTCCCTCCCATTGACACTATAAACCTTTAATGTTCTCTCTGTATCTGTCTCTCGCCGACCCTCTTTCTCTTTTTTAAACCTCCTCTTCCTACACACGAAAGGTAAAAGGCAGAATCCAAAAAATAATTTCAAGAATAAGTAAGTAGGCATTCATATTTCCCGGAGAGAGGAAGCCCAGCAAAGAGGCGGGGGAAAAAGCAACAGGTTTAAACGAGGAGGTGAGAACATTCAGGAGAAGCGATGATATAAAAAATCAAACCTCTGAATGAGTGAGATTAACATCAAAAGTCTTTGAGGGGCACATTAAAACCACCAAATCACCTTGATTAAATTACCCTCTGCCCCAATCGTGAGGAAGGGATACACAGGCAATAATGTGACTCATATCACTCTATTACGAGACTTATAAAAAAAAACTTAAATATAAATTCTCAGTGTAGCGTTAGTGCGAGTTTTAAGGAAATCACTTATAACAGAATGAGGTAGTTATTTGTGAATACTGGAAAGCCAGTGCCAATAGGCGATAAGAACAGTAACAGGGATAGTGGAGGAACAAAATCAGCAGGAAAGAAAAGTGAAGGGAGGTTTTCTAAACATATATTTTTACTAATAGCCGTAGTGCGAAAAATAAGACGGAGGGAAATTTAGATCAGTTTCAAGTGTGGTTAACACTGATGTTTTTGCAATAACTGAGACGTGGTTTAATATGAAAAATCGGGATATGCCTGCTGAATATCACATTCAGGGTTTTGAAGTGTTCCAAGTAGACAGAAATATCTGAGAGGGGGTTGGGGTGGCACTCTATGTCGGGGATTGTTTAAACGGTTGAATAAAAACCAGTATAAAGTCTTAAACACATACTGAGTCTGAGTAGAATTTTCAGAGGGGCACGAAAATTTAATTTAGGCGTGATATACCGTCCTCAAACTTGGATAGGGACCAAGGAAGACTACTGTGGGAGGAAATTGTTAGGGTCACAAGGTACGATAACGTATTAATTCTAGTGGACTTTAAATTTAGTAATATTGACTGAAATTTCTTGACTGGGAATTTAGAGTCTAACGACTTCCTAGAGGTAGTCCAGGATTGTTTTAAATTAGTTTGTTACAGAACCTACAAGGGAAAATAACCTGCTTGACTTGGTTCTGGCAAACAAGGAAACCTTTGTTACTAATTTAGAAATTTCAGAGGAACTTGGCCCAAGCGACCACAAATCAATTATCTTTAGCATTGAATGGAAGTATGGTAGTAGGGATAACTCATTAACAATCTCAGATTTTCGCTTAGCAGATTACAATGGGCTTAGAGAACAACTCTCATCTGTGGACTGAGGTAACGAGGAGGGCTATCAGTATGAGAGCTTTCTAAACATTATACATGCTACCCAAACCACATTTATTCCGTATAAAGAAAATAAAATAGAAATAACCCTAAATTGATGAATAATAGGCTCAAATATCTTTCAGGGCAGAAGAAAAGAATTTATAGGCTCATCAAAATAGGTGAGGTCCTCTTCGCATTCCTATACGGCTAAGTTCAACATTATTAAGCTGATAGGTGCTAGGTTATGAACATTCCGGCTAGTTCAACATTATTAAGCTGATAGGTGCTAGGGTTATAACATTCCGGGTAAGTTCAACATTATTAAGCGAAAAGGTGCTAGGGTTATGAACATTCCGGCTAAGTTCAACATTATTAAGCTGATAGGTGCTAGGGTTATGAACATTCCGGCTAAGTTCAACATTATTAAGCTGATAGGTGCTAGGGTTATGAACATTCCGGCTAAGTTCAACATTATTAAGCTGATAGGTGCTAGGGTTATGAACATCGGCTAAGTTCAACTTTAACTATAGGTGCTAGGGTTATGAACATTCCGCTAAGTTTAACATTTTAAGCTGATAGGTGCTGGGTTTTTGAAATTCCCGGGCTAAGTTCAACATTTTTAAGCTGATAGGGAGGGTTATAACATTGGGCAAGTTCAACATTAAAAGCTAAGGTGTAGGGTTATAACTTTCCCGGCTAAGTTCAACATTATTAAGCTGAAGTGCAGGGTTATGAACATCCGGCAATTTCAACATATAACTGATAGTTGCGGGGTTTGAACATTCCGGCTAAGTTAAACATTATTAAGCTGTGGGTGTAGGGTTAGAACATTGGCTAAGTTAACTTATTAAGCTGATGGGTCTGGGGTTATAAAACTTTCCGGCTAATTTTAACATTATTAAGCGAAGGTGCTAGGGTTATGAACATTCCGGCTAAGTTCAACATTTTAAGCTAAAGGGTGCTGGGGTTATAAACATTCCCGGCTAAGTTCAACATTATTAAGCTGATAGGTGCTGGGGTTATGAACTTTCCCGGCTAATTTTCAAAAATTATTAGTGATGGGTGCTAGGGTTATGCTTTCCCGGCTAAGTTCAACTTTTTAAGCGATGGGTGCT